GGAGGGGGAGGTCGCCGGCAAGGGGGAGGGTGCCAGTGAAGGATGGACTGATGGTGGAGCAATGGGGTGTATTCCTGGGGAAGAGAGCGTCGACGGAACATGGCTTGGCGAGGGCCTTGGAATTGGCGAGTAGATGTGTTGTGTTGAAGTCGGCTGGGGGGGATCGATGATACTGGAGATGGCCGGCGAGGCACTGGCACGGAACGTATTGCGCGGGGAATGGCTGTGCGCGGGTGGACTGGCTGTCGAGGGAGCCGGAGCTGGAGAAGCTGTATCAAAGGCCGAACGAATGGGATCATAGTTCTGACCACTCCTCCTCTGAGGGGGAGCAGGAGGAGCAGGGGGAGGCGGTTGGGACTGAGGTCGTGGAGGAGGAAGAGAATGATGGTTCATCGCATAGGCAGGGGACGGCGCATGAGTCGGGGTGTGAGTTGGGGTCGAATTGGAGAAGGGAGGAAGAGAGGACGAGGGATTGAGCTGAGGACGATGCTGCTGCTGCTCATGCTGAGAAGGTTGGTGGAGGTGTAATGCGGATGAGGGCGTGAGGTGCGGAGAGCGGCCACTTGACGTTGAGGTTGACGCGGGCGCAGGAGCAGACGGGGTCGTGATGGAGCTCACAGAAATACTCTTGGGGATCTCGTCCGGAGGAGTGGGCTCCAGCTTTGGTTTCTTGCGAGAGTTATTCGATGAAGGCTGGTCATGGGGAGCCGTTGTACTCTGGCTGTTATTATTGTTATTGATGCTGTTGCTGATGCTGTTGCTGCTGGTGGTATGGGGATTGGGATTGGGATTGGGATTGGTGGAGGTGGACTTTTCCCGTTGGCGACGACTTCCCCGGGGTTTGGATTTTTCCTTGGCGTCCTTTGCGCTATCTTTTAACTGTTGGGTGTTGTCCTTTTGAGATTTTGACCTAGGGAGATCTTTCTGACTGGCATCGGCGTCCTCATCCTTCTTGCGACGCGACCGTCGAGTGGTGGCGGAGGCTCGCCGGGGTCGGGCGTTGGAGTCGATGGATGACAGCGACTCGTCCTCTTTGCCAGGCCAGCCATTTTCGGGCTGATCGGTAGACATGATGGAAAAGGAAATAAATTCAAGAACTATTCCTTGACGATGGTGATGATGAGTTTTGCATGTATAAAAAAAGGATCAGGTGGGAGATATGGATGGTGTCGCGTCAAGTTTGGCCTGAAAATTGTGCTGGTTGGGTAGAAGAACAAGATAAAGAAAAGAATAACCGGGATGGAGAATGGGTTGGAGAATGGGTTGGAGACTCCGTTTTTTGAGATGATCAAATAGAACAAAGTAGATTATCGGGAGGAGGAACCGAGAAAAAAACAAGAGAGAAACGGATAGTATTAGTAGCCAAGGGGATGGAGAGGGAGAGGGAGGGAGGAGTTATGAAGAGGATTAGAAGAGACAAAAGAAGAAACAGAAAGAAAACAAGAGAGAAGGGGAGGAAAAGACACGAACAAGAACAAGGACAAGAAGAAGGACAGGGACAAGCTATGGCAGAGGACTTGAAGGTCCTATATCAGACAAATCTTAAGCTAAGCGAACCATCAGGGAAGATGAGGACAGAAGGAAGAGGAAGAGAAGAAAAGAAAGGGGAAAAGGGAGGAGAAAAGAAGAAGAAGAAGAAGAGAAGGGGCACGAGAGAAGAATCAATCAATCAATCAGTCAATGATAGTAATCCAGCAAAGAGAGAAAGAGAAAAAGTCTTAGAGGGAGGAGTGATACTTAAGACAGTAGGTAGTACTCTACTCTCTTGATCTGATATGATCATACGGAGTATCGTGAGATACTTGATATCGACTCACACTACGGAGTACTGCGTATGGAGATACACTGTATCCCTCTGTAACACATTTTCTGACAGACACCCTGTATATCATGCTCAATGGTTCAATAGTCAATATCTATGGATACATCTACTGTATCATTTCAGAGGCCAAAGGAACCTACCTTAATCCTATCATCCTACCATCAATACGCGAGGTGATTTCCTGGTACTCGGACAGTTCCCGTTGAAAGACATCAAACGATCCGGACTGAGGTGATATCTGAGATTCTCGAACTTATCGACAGCCAGAAAAAGAACCATTGACAACTCTCTCTCTTATTTAATGTGATTCCGACGTATTATATATACTTGTTCAGCCGGTCAAGGCTTGTGGTGATAGAGTGAGGTGAGGTACCTGCCTGAATGGGTAAGTACCTGGATGCACGGAATATAGAGCCAGACTAGCCTTTTTAGGAAAGGCCTGCATATGGCCCGCTATTCCTGATGAAGACTAGTGTCTTCTGCATTCCAATTTAGGCTTTTGAGCCGCATCAGATGATTTCATTCATAGCGCCCTATCATTATTACTACGGTAGTATTACTCCGTACTATTTATTTTCCCCGCCAACTTTCACTGAATAGCTTCATTTCCAGACAACTCCTGACCTACTCATCATGGCATTTCGAGGTCAACGCTTCACTATCAATCTCGATGACGATCAAGACCTGAATCTCGATTCTTCATCACCTTCCCTCGACTCCTCTCCTTTCGGTCTGATAGGCGAGATCCGCGAGCGCTCCCCCTCCGCTGCCGTTCCCCCAGCTCCGAAGCACCCCACCGGATCAACAGGCTTCCCGCAACATCGACGTCGTGTCAACCAGTCCGCTTTCAAACAGCGCAGGGCGGATAAGCAACAAGAAGCGTTGCCGCCGTCTCTCTTGACTCCTGCCGCCACCCTTTCTGATGAAAAGAAGAGCATCGACGAAGAGAACCGTCGGCAACTGGCATCCATGTCACCGGCCCAGATTCAACAGGAGCGGGAGGAGCTGATGTCTTCAATGGATCCGTCTCTGCTCGGGAGATTCCTCCGTCGCGCACGGATCGACGACAACACTATCACCACATCCGAGAAAAGCTCGTCACAACCAGAACCAGAACCAGCACCCTCGTCTTCATCATCAGCGCAAGATGCTTCTACTGCGAAACCCAACAAGTCAGTCTCGTTCAATGTCGAGGAAGACTCCAAGACGGCAACAGAGAAGCAAGAACCATCGCAGCTCAAGAAAACTCCCCCCGCAGTAACTTCTTCCGTCCTCACGCCAGAAGACCTTCCTCCAGCTCAACCACCGGCCGATCTCCATCCGGCGTCTGAATTCCCCAGTCACGAGGCCTTTCATTTCCCTACGCCTCCTCGAGAAAACGCGCTACCGAATTTAGATCATTCGTCTCCTTCTTTCCTGTCTGACCTCCAAGCCCATTATTTCCCCGAAATGTCTCACGATCCATCAGCGCTCTCCTGGCTGCAGCCGCCCTCCTCCGATCCGGAAGATCCAGACTCGACGTCCGCCTACCATCCTGCAAGTAGTGCAGAGGCCATCCATCCCTCCGCTCTCCGGTTCTCCCTCATCGGCAGTGTCCTCTCCCCCACCACTTCGCTCTCCCTCCCCACCACTCTCGGTCTGCATCACCACGGCAAGGACCCGCATGCTGCCGGCTACACCGTCCCCGAACTCGCCATCCTCAGTCGTTCGTCCTTCCCCGCTCAACGTTGCATCGCCTGGCAAGTCCTCGGCCGTATCCTGTTCCGCCTGGGCAAGGGCCAGTTCGGGGAACGCGGCAGCCCCTTGGTCGAGGGCCTCTGGTCCGTGATTGAGCGCGAGGGCGTAGTCGCCGGCATGCTCGCCGAAGCAGACGGCGCTCCGTCCGGCCCGACTCGTTCAGCTGCGGCCCGCAACTCAACGGCCGCTGATCCGGACGACGCGGGTTCGTTGCAAACGCAAGGTACTCCCGGGCCAAAAGGGGCCAGTGGGATCGGCCGGCATGCCAGTGCCTCCGCTTGGGCTGTGGAGGGTGTTTGGCTCTGGCAGATGGGCGGAGGAGGGGATCGGGGGATCCTGAAGGAGAATGCCATCCGATCGCAGTAGTCTTTAATCTGCATGTCTTGCAAAATCGATGCCGATGGCAGAAACTTGCATCTTGTATCATATCTCATTATCCTTGACAATCACGATGACATGAACAGTTGAACATTTGTAGTCACCATCTATTCCCTCTATGCCATCCCACCAGAGTCATGAAACCCCACATAAATACATACTCATCGTAGTCATACGCTCAAATTAGACAAATAGCTATTACAGTTCCACGTCCCCTTCTCGTCCACATCCTCATGGTAATCCCCCCATCTGCACCCCCCAGATCTTCCACCGCGTTTCTTCCAAAAAGTCTCGCCGCAGCCATAACCCCTTGGACGGTGCAACCTCCTCGTCGCCACCGCCATCACCATCGGTCTCCTCCGTCTCATCCCCCAGTCGGACATGGTCAAGCCAGCTGTACAACAGCCGCAGCTGCCAGAGCCGATCGCGGACCTCGTCGGCGTCCGCGCCCCGACCGCCAGCCGCCCGGATCACATTCCGCACGCTGCTCTCGATCACCAGTTTGCTGTCCACGGCCGAGACGCGCAGCCACGGCGCATCGCCAGGGCCACCGGGCTCCCCCGCGCCTCGGACGCGGGCGGGGAACGCGGCCGGCAGCACCAGTGATTTCTCGTGGATGTCGAGCCCTTGCAGGGAGTCGAGGCTGAAGATCCAGTCCCACATGCTCTGTGACAGCGCCGCGCGGTGGACGGGCGTGGAGCCCGAGGCGAGCAGCGCGACGGCCTTGGGCGGTGCGGCGGGGAGGAGTCGACCGCCCAGGTTTGAAGTCGCCGCGGATGACGGGAGCACGTCCTGCGCCTCGCCGAGGCTGGACAGGGTCGCCACGAACACGGAGGATCCGGTGGGGTTGTACGTCGCCTTGCGCCGCAGATACACGGACTGATCCCCGTGCCGGAACTTGTCGTACAGCCGCTTGTTGTGCCTAAAGTCCAGGACAAGGGGCCAGTAGTCGGCGCTGCGTATTTCCACTTTCGCGATGCTTTCCAGGTCGGGCAGGAGACAGGGTGCGGTAACGGTTTGTCTCTGACCGCTCGTGTTCGTGACGGTGATCGGGAGAGTGATCGGGCGGCGAGAATCGATGTCCCGGGGCACAAGACAGCGCGGCTCCGCGGCCAGAACCCACAAGTGCCGGAACGCCTGGAGGTGGCATTTGTTGTCCAGCACCGTCGTCGGGAAAATCGGATACAGTGAGCAGATGAGCGAGGCGATGGCCAGGTCGGATGTGCCAACCGTATAACTGCCTCCGCCCAGGAAGAGCAGCCCGATGGCCATGTGCGCGGCCATGTGGCTTCCATACGGCGTATCTGCATCCACGCGGCCGTGCAGCGATCGCAGTCGTCGAAAGAGCGCCAGGTCTCCGGTTCCTGCCATTACAGTCGCCGCGGAGAGTGCAACGATGTCCTGGCAGTTTCGGACCGAATTCCTGGTCAGTCGCCCGTCATAATTCGCCGCTGGGAGTCTGCAAATGCGGATGAATTGATCCAGGTAGGAGACAAGCAGGTCACGAACGGTCGGCTGCGCAGAGCCCGCGAAGCGCAGACCAAGAGCGAAGCAGAGCCCAGCAATAATGTTGAAGAAAGGCATGTCGTCACTCTTCAGTCGGGTGACGCCTGTGAGACGATATCGACGTCGATAAATTTTAGGGAGACTCTCGATAATCCAATCATAGCTGGGCCGTATGCTATCCCACATGATGACATGTCGAGCCAGCGTTCGTAGGAGGAAGAGGTCCGGTCGAACATAGTCAAACCGGACAGTGGTGTCGGGGATGTCAATCTTGCGCGCCAGAACCGCATCATTCGTCTTCATGAAGATAATCGTCAGGGCAACGGTAGCACCAGCGGTGGCTCGATCGAGCACATGAGCCAAGTGAACAGTCTTCGTTCCCACAGCGATGGCCAAGAGTCTCTCCACGATATGCATGTCCCGCATGCCTCTCAGGTCTTTGCCTTTGGCTAGATTGATGAAGCCAAGGGCGAACCCGGCGGCCAGCCGGTAGCCTTCGTCACGCAGATCCTCATGCGACGGCGAGCTCTCCTCTTGTTCCGCGTTTTCCATTTCGGACAGCATCACCTCGCTCATCCTTCGATGCTGAGAGTTACAGTAGAGAAGGCCGATTCCCATGATGCCAGCGGTCTGCGTAAGCGGTGATAGGTTAAGTTCGGCAGCCCCAAGAGGCAGCATTCGAGTAACGTGTACCGAGAGCAACCGGGTTATGAGGGTGTCCATTGTGCCCAGATAAGACGCCGAGAGTCCGAGCAAGAGACCGATCGATGTCATTGTGTGCTTAGGGGTCAAATACTTGAAAGCGACCCACTTGGCCAGCGATTTGAGGTGCCCATTGAGACCCAAGGCCAGCAAGAAGCCCGCATGTCGGTTGGTCAGCTCCTGCGGCTTATTGAAAAGGATCCATGAGGTGTCGATCCCTTTTGACTTCCTGGAGATAGCGAGCCCAGTGGACACGCCGTTGTGAAAGAAGGCCCAGCACACCTTTTCCTCGCTGAAAGACGCTCTTTCGGCGCTGATTGTCACGTTTGACGGCTTCATAACGCACTGCAGCGAAAATGACGGAATTGGAAGCTTCTCTGTCAATAGAGGCAAGCGTCCGCTGAAAGCAAGCATGGCTCGTCCGGCAGGGATCGACAAGGTCCGGAGGGTGACGAGTTGCACCACCTCCTTTTGTGCCTCAAGTAAGTCTGAATCGGTCCAGTCGGGCTCTGGAATGCACTCTGCCACGGGAGCTTTGGATTGGTTGAGCAGTCTGGCTGCTTCTATGAAGCGTTTGTCGTCCCGGAAGATCAATCGTGTTACAGAGAACCTATCTGCCTCTGCAGAAGCCTCAAAGGAGTTGATCGTGTCAATTTCGAGTGCTGAGCCTCCGATGTGGTGAAAGTCGCGCACTGCATCATGCGATAAGGCGGGTTGGGGAGGTATCGAAGGTGGATATGATGTATCCGGGTTCAAGGACATGCTCAGATCCTCTCGATCGACAAGTTCCAACAGATTCGCATTCCAGGACGCTGAGGCCTGGGTCTGCGTACGCATAATTGCTTCATACAGCGGCGTACTGACGCCTTCTGGGAAGGTCTCGATGACGTTCCTGCTAAGCCCCCAACGGTGAAGGAGCTTGACCCTGTCGAACGAGGACGAGACGTCGTGGATTTCGGAGAGGAACCCATTCAGAGCCAGTGTCCTCGGGGTGAGCCTGAAACACTCCTGCCATAACTTTCCATTGTGTGGAGTGCTTTCCGATGTACTGACAAGGTCCAGGAGTGTGAAGAACGGCGAGGAGCGCTGCCCCCATGCAGTCTCCAGATGAGCGAAGATCGAAGGAGGCGCGAAGGGCTCTGGAGGAATATCCATCATCGAGATGCGAGAAGCTTCAAACTGCCACCGTTCCATGCTCGCCATCTCAGAGCCATAGTACGCCTCGTCTGCCCACGTCCAGGACGTCCATCCGAGCCAGCCGCCGATCTGGGCCAGAACGGGCGCAAGGAGACCCAAAGGTTTGCGTTCATGCTCGGCTTCACAGATTGAAAGCTTCTGTTCCTCCCGAAACAGGTGTAAGCCTACTACAATCGTACACAGGGCAGTCCGCCGAAGAGTATCATTGCAGGCGAGCGCAACAGGAAGATGACCATTTGGTCCGATCGTCGAGTTACCCTGAGGAGTTCGCAGAAGTTCTCGGGCCAGAGCTATGCATCGGACCAAATACGTGTTTTTTCGAAAGGTTGACCCCTTAGAACCCTGCTGGTCAGTCTTTTGAGCGTTCCTTCCCTGAGACCTGACAGCATCCTGTTCTGCATCTTGCTCGAGGATCCATCCCCAAGAACTGCTGGCCATCCAAGGCGCTACAACGCCAGAAGAGCTTGATTCTTTGTCTAACATCGACTCCCAGCTCTCAAGGTCGACATAGCTTCCGCTGCTGGACCTGAGGAGACCCTTCTTTCTGCGTGCTTGTTTGACGGGCGTCTGGTCACTGTCAATGAATTGCAGTGCCATTGCGAACAAAACGATTGTCATTGCAGTCCATTCGAGGTCATTTTCGCCTGTTTCTCTCGCACGAAGCCACTTGACGGTTTCCCACCAACCAGCCAAGATACCATCGCCAGCTTTTTCAAAGTCATGCAAAACAAATTTACAGATTCGAAGGACGTCCTTAACAAGCGCATTGCTGGGCTCCATCTGTATCTGTAGCTTGTGTCGTTTATTTGTGGTGTCGATCACATCGAACTTTCCTCGAACAGACGGATGGCCAAGACCAGATATTGATACCGGGCCATCAGTCATTATACGATTCATACCACTTTCTCGTGGGCGACTAGAGGATGCGCTGGAGGACACGCCATATCGTTCATACAGCATTAGTTTGGGGGGGATATCGACTCTGATAGGGTTGCTCCATGGGCTCTGTAGGTACAATTCGTTTTCACCGTTTTCTGCTGCTCCAAGGGTCAAGATGCGTGAAGTCTGACCATCAACAACTCTGCAGGCGTCTCGAATATCCGTGACGTGATGTATGCCTGTCGCCTGGACGAGCAAAGAACGCTCCTCAGAGGAGGCCTTCTTTCGCAGTTTCTTGGAAGCCACTGCATCTTTCTTCGGCAGTGCTACCCTGTCAGCGCGTAGATTCACAACGGTCATCGACTTCGCGTCCTGATCTACGAGATAAACAGCCAGAGCAGCCGAGTTTCCGTTCTGCGTGATTCCACATTCTGAGGGGCACAGTGTGATGATTTTCACTCTTCGGGAAGGCTTAAAAGACCTGACAGGCGTCTGGAAGGTGCCAGAGAATCTCGTCGAGAAGCTTTCTACTTTCGAAAGCAAAACCTCTTCCGGAAGACCAGACGTCGTTTCCTTGAGGTCCAAATTATCAAACCCCTCAAATAGACTTTCGTTGTTTAGTTCTTCGAGCAGACGATCAACCGGTGCATCGACGAAGCTGCTTGTGGTGCTGTATACGGAGCCGGTACCAGGCGGCAGCGAGC